GTGAATGCACACTCAGGGAGCATTAAGGAAATCTGGGAAGATGGGGGGTGTGTGAGAACACTCAGGGAGCATTAAGGAAATCTGGGAAGATGGGGGGGCAAGCACACTCAGGGAGCACTAATGTCTCCTCTATGTGTTTTCTGGCTAAACAGCCATCTAAACAAATGGGAACTGTCCTCTGAATACAGCACCACTATTGCTCATCAATAGGAACCAATGGGGGTGTCCAGAGTCACTTTCCTTCCCGTAGCACTGCGAGCCGGCCATTCTCTGGGGCATTTGCTATGCAAAATCATCATGATAGTTACAGCTGCAAAACTGGGACTAAAACGTATAATGAGAAAAAAGTCATTTTATCATAAAGACACTTGCACTCAAATGTTTTAACAGCGCAATTCACAAGTGCAAAGATGTGGAAACAACCCAAGCAATATACGAGTGAAATAACAGACTGCGGTGTGTGTATGCCACGGAATATTATTCAACCATAGAAAGAGATGAAGATCTTTTATCTTTTGGGACAAACTGGAGGAGATTGGAGACCGTTCTCCTGAGTGAAGTGTTGCAAGAATGGGAAAACAAACACCACAGCTGCTCAGTACTAGACTGGAATGAGTAACCCCAAACCTGTATGTGCACATGGGGGCAAAATTCGGTGAAATTCCAGTAGCGGGGAGGACGGAAGGGAACGGGTAAATTCCCACCCAGTGGGTACATTGCGAGGACGTGCCTATAACTCTGACTTTAACCTTACATAAGCTAACTATGTAACCATATCACATGTACCTCCTTAATAATAACAAAATTAAAAAAGGATAATGGTAAAATTTATGGAGCACTTCCTGCATGCCAGCAGCTGCACAGAGTGCCTAATGCACACTGTCCCTTGGTAACTGCACACAGTCTCTGCAGAGAGGTATTCGTGTAACACCCATTTAACATGCAGGCTGCACAGATTTGGTTTGAAAAGAGCAGAAATTTGCCACTGGCACAGCATTGAGTAGATCTGGGAGGTGAATTGGGAGGGAAGGAAATCAAGACCATGTGTCCTGGGGTTGGCGGAAAACATTTCAGGAGCTGAGCGTCTTCATAGCAGATTGTATGTGGAGAAGTTCTGCTGTCTCTTAGAAATGGGAACCCCTGTGGCATTTTCTTTTGAGTGACCCCAGTAAACACTTAAACTGCTTTTTAATTATTCACAGATATCTGATGAGTGTTTCTTCTAGATGCTACTTTGGACAGAGATAGGATGTACAACCGGGAAAGAGACTGGGGCTTTCTTAGAGTCCTCTTGTTCTCTTCAATTTGTTGAGTCTCTGAATCTCAGTTTTCCTCACCTGCAAAATGGGGTTAAGAAAACCTAGTTCACAGTGTCTTTGTGAGGATTGTAGATCCTGAGTTCAAAGCCTTTAACCCAGTGTCTGGCACATAGTAGTGCTCAGACTACCTGCCAGGGGTCAAGCTCAGGCTGGAGTCACAGGAAAGAAGACGGAGCCAACAGTGCCCCTTCCCTTGCACTGCTCTGTAACTCAGAGGATACAGACGCATGCCCAGCTAATTCACACTCAAGAACTGTGCTAAGTTCTCTACAGAGATTTACAAGGGGAAAAAGAGAGATGTGGGGGAGGGAGGAAGAGAAAACCTCACGAATCGAGGATTTAACATTCTCTCCAAAAAAAAATGGTACTGAAAGTGAAGTGGGCAGGTGGGCAAGCAACCTGGGGGTTCCCTCCTCTGCAACTCAACTGCTGTGGAGACATGACCCTGCCTTTCTGAGCCTCTGTACAGAGTACCTTGAAGGTATTTGGTGAAGATTTATAATGAGATCATGAAATATGACGATGCCTACTGCGATCTCTGGGAATATGGTAGATACTTGGGAATCTTTCTTTCTTATTCTCTTATCTTTTTCTATTTCTTCCTCCTCCCATTCGTCTTCTGTGTCCATTCCAGGGTTCAGCGTCATACCGCAAGCAGAAAATGGATTAATTGTATCTATATAAGGGCTACAACTGTTTTGACTCTTGTTTCACTATTTTAGCCACTCTTTTCTATTTACTAAGAGTAAACATGCTAACATTCATTACTTTAATTTCTATTGGTTTTGTGCTTGGAGAAAAATGCATTTTCCCTCTGTCTGTTTTGTTGTTGTTGTTCTTTGCCATTGGCCAACTCTGCTATGTACTTAGATTAAGTTTGCCAGATCTAGTGAATAAAAGTACAAGATACCCAGTTACATTTAAATTTTAGATAATGTTAAATAATATTTTAATACATCACATGTAATATTTGAAACATCCCTAGTTTGGAGGGTTGGAGAATTTTATTAATGAAAACTTCACAGCTTATACAGCCAAGTGGATGGAATTCACCTCACAGCAGAACTGAGAACATCTGGTCTCCCTGGGCTCCCCCTTGGAAGCCTGGGCCACCGTGACAGCCCAGGGCAAGGGAAGAGCCTGGTTTAAAGACAGACAGACTTGATTTGAATCTTGAGTTGGCCACTGTGATCTGGGCCAAATTACTTAACCTTCACACACTCAAAAAATATTAGTGGAGCCCACGGCACAGTTGTTACAAACACAGACCCTGGAGTCAGAGGTCAGCTTGGATTTACTTCCTTGCTTTGCTGTTTGCTAAGTGTGCAAGTTACTCGCACTCTCTGTGCTTCAGCTTCCCCTCTCAAGACCGTCATGAGAACTAAAATATGCTACATTCATAAACTGCAGTGGACAGTGTCTGGCACAGAGCTAGCGTTATATAAATGTTTAACAAGTAAATAAAGGCGATGATACTTTATAAAAGATGTTGGGACTCCAATAAGCAAGAAAGCAAGACAGACGGTGTTCTCCGTACGATGGAGTTACTATCCTCAGAGTTACATCTTACAGAGACCGGTCAGATGCGCAGTACTATACCATAAACCAACTTATTCTTTTACTGCCTTTCTCAGGGCTACTACTGGATAATTATTAATGAATTGTTGTTTCTTCAGGGACACTTGCAGTAAAGCAAGTCATGTAGTGATAGGACAGCAATAACATTGCACTGCAGGGAAATCAGAATACACCACCCCAAACCACGCCGCTTTGGCACATAGGGTATTTTGAGTGGAAGACCATTGAGGATTCACAGATGCAGAAAGAAACCTTCTCTGAGCTTCTCTGGGCTTCTTTTTTTGAGTCTGAGCCTCAAGCTGTTGCCCTGGGTAGAGTGCTGTGGCATCACAGCTCACAGCAACCTCCAACTCCTGGGCTCAAGCAATTCTCTTGCCTCTGCCTCCCAAGTAGCTGGGACTACAAGTGT